TTCTAATTTGTACTCTCTTTAAAAAAAGGAGAAGCATCCAACAGACTTCCTCTTTTGAGCAGCCTAAATAATAAAAGGTAGAAAAACAAAGGATGTGATGTGGAGATTGATACTGCCCAGCCTGGGTGTGGGGGGTGTCACCCGAAAGGCCACAACATAAAGGAGCAGGAGGAAGCTGCTGCTCCTGCACCGTTTTGCTGCCTTCTGCCTGCCAAAACCGTTTTTCCTCTGCACTGCCCCTCTGCCACGTCACCCTGCCTTGGAGCCAGCCCACTACGGACTGAAGTCTCTGCAAACTATAAGCCGAAATAAACCTTTAAAATAATAAGCACTCGAGAGTCCAGTATGTGGTTCCTAGATATTATCACCCAGTGAAAAGACAAGGGCCAGTTATAGGGTCAGGACAGCAAAGGACAAGATGAGCCCTGAACGTACTGCGTAGGAAAAGGAGAACTTAGACTGCTTGGGGCCCCCCTGCAAGGCTCCCTCAAGGCCAACAGGAATAATCAGAAGAAAAATTACAAAATGTTGAGTTGAAAAACAAATTCATGAGCCCTGATGATTCCAAAGGATCAGGGCAGGGGTAGAGAGAAGGGCAAGCTCTATTTACGGAAGAAAATACCAACTAGTAGGTGTAGAAGGAATGATGTAAGAATCACTATTTTACCATGCAAAGACATTTATCACCACTGCAGAACATAAGCAAAATAATATGCCCCATTCTTTAAAAACTATTAGTGTCCTAAAAGACAGCTCCAAAAAACAGGAACAAAACAAAACCCCTAAAATACATTGGGGAGCTGCTCTGGATTAATGGGTACCAGAGAGACATAAAAAATCCAATATATAATTTACAACCTGGACTGGAAAAATCACAGCCATAAAACATATTATCAAAACAATTAGGAGGGCCGGCAAGATAGCTCAACAGACTAAGTGCCTGCTTTGGCAAGCGCAGGGACCAGGGTTTGATCCCCGGTCCCGCAGGCCACGCCAGCCCACCCTTGGGGGGCTCTGAGGCAGTGACCCAGTCCAGGTGTGGTGGCGAATGCCTATAATCACACCGCTGGGGAAGCTGAAAACTGGAGAATCACTGAGTCACAGCTGCGTAGTGAGACCCTGTACCAAACACATAAAATAAAATTAAAAAAAAAAAATGAGGATAATGGTAATAAGGATTATGACAGTATGCTAAACCTGAGTGGTGATTTATTACGGCTAATAAGGAAATGGCCTTTTCTTCAGTGCTGCATGCTAAAGTAATTAGGGATGAAGAAATACCATGCTTTACAGCTTACCCTCTCACAGTTCACACACAAAATGTGTACGTGTGTGTGCACAGGTGGGCTCGCCACACGTGGGGTGCGCCCCTCAGCTCCCTGCTCCGCTGTGTGAGCTGCTTGAACGCCCATGTGCTCAGCACCAGGCAAGAATTAGATACACCATGGTTGGTACCTCAGTCCACAAACTCAATTTGTTCCGTGCTCCTGGGGAACATGGCCTCAGTCACGTTTGTCACCTGACGCGGAGTTGACAAATGGAAGCAAGCCTTGCCTACCACTTCTGACTGCAAATCGAATGGTTTCCAGATGGAAGCATTCGTGAACCAAGGTGTCACTGTACAAGAAAGATTTAAGGAAGGAAGACACTTCACTGGAAAAAGGAGCTAGCTACCCTAATAAGAATCAGGGCAGAGGCTCCAGAAAGACAGAGGACCCCTGGGTTCTCTGCTCCTAGCTGCTTGATTGGGTGCAAGGGCCCTTCCAACGACCTGGAACTTGTCTACCCCCGACTGCTTCCCCTCGGCTGCTGAGGATGGATCCCAGGCCCTAAAACCCTCACCTGGGGGTCCCATTTCCATGTGCACATTCCTAAGTCGACCCCCTTGTCCATGTCAGGGCCTTATCTCTGGAATTTATACGGGGAGACAGGGGGGGGGGTGGCTCACACACAAGGCTGATCAGCGACTTCTCTAGTGCGGTGACTATCTACCCAGGCACATATACATGTACACAGGTGCATGGGTGTGTATTTTTATATCATAAATAAGATTCCTCTGTTAAGCGGTGACTCTTGGCTCCTCTGTACTGGGGAGGAGGGCTGCCTTGGTTTGGAGCGCCTGGCTTCCCCTGGGCTCCACCTGTCCCCCTCTTGTCTTTGGCTTTCTCCAGTGAAGTTTTCACTCTCCCTAGTCAGGATTTGCCTAGTAACCCTAATAAGGCCCTGATTGTATATATATATTTTTTCTGTCTGCAGGCTCCTCTAGGTTCACAAATTTGGGGGTTCAATGTCCTATTCTTTCTTTCTAATCTTACATTTGCTCTCTTGCAAAATAAAAGTTAGTGTAGAAGGAAGCTCCTAAAGAATTTCAAACAGTGGATGTCACAATATGACCTTTATTCTAGCCTGATTATTCTGAGAGAATTTATTTCAGAATGGAGCAAACTAAGAAGAGGCCAGAGGCCAATTTTTCATGAAGAGAATGAAGCGGAAGCTCAAAGGCCCTTCCTTTTCTTTGAGTTTACTTCCAAAGCCCGGGGAGGAACCTGAGCGATATTCTTTCACGTGGTCCCAAGATTTGCCAAATTCACAATGGAACTAATATTTGATCGAGACCAATGTCTCCTTCCACTTTAATGAAGTTTACCCCAGACCAGGCAGCTCTCTAGTACCTACGGTTATCTGGGGAATCCTTCTGAGCCTTCTGAGAGGGGAAATCTGACTTGAGGTTTGGTATCTTTAGGCTCTAGACGTAGACTGCACTCATTGCCTTGTGCAGTGAAGTGTTGGAAAACTGTCCTAGCACAGGAACGACTTCCAGCGACATCCCTGCCACCTACAGTGCATGCTTATGTGGCAGCCGACACTATAAGGCTAGGGTGAAATACAAACACAACCTAACCTGGTGCCTCAGGCCAGAAAGCTGTGAAGAGAGAAGAAACAGGCCGGCAGAAAAACTGCCTGACCTCTTCTCCCTCAGAGAGTACCACTCACAGAGTGATCAAAACCTACACAGCCCCAAAAGATCACTGAGTTTGAGACTTATTTGGAACATAAAACCAAAGGAGCCGCTTAATCAATGTGATCCTCATGTGGCTGCAGGGAGAGGCTCCGTATTATTCACCTAAGCGGGGCATTTGGTGGGCGGAGAACTGTAAGAATGGAGATTTGGGTCAGGAGCGAGCTGGACATCACTGTGTCTACAGAGGAAAGTGGAGCAAGCGGAAGGTCTGCAAGCCGGTGGGAGAGTCACAGGCCGGAGCCCCAGGCACCAACTCCCCCTCGCTTGGTGCTTAGGTTGGTGTGGGGGTGGGCAATGAGAAGAAATCGGAAAAAAGGAGTAACGTTACGCAGCGGGTCAGATAGGTCTGAGTAATTTCAAGGACAGGCATGGTGGTGCACGCCTGTCATCCCAGCACTCAGGAGGCTGAGGCAGGAGTATCACGGCCAGTTCGAGGCCAGTCTAGGCTACAAAGTGAGCTCAAGCCCAGCCTGAAATGCATAGGGAGACCTTATCTCAAAAAAAAAACAATGAAAAGAAAAGAAAAAAAAAGCTTAATAATTACCAGGAGAGAATTGTAACTAAAATGTACTGAATTTGTTATATATGAATCTGTTTATAAAGTATGGTAAATTAACTGGTAACCCCATGTGACAAGTTGGTGTGGATGTGAAATTTAAAGTGAGGCTAGAAAAAGGAATAGGAAACGGACTCAGGAAGTGTGGATAACTCTTTGAAGAACCATGACCAGAAAAAAAAAAAAAAAAGCAGAAGGA